TGTTAACGTTCGCTTGCACTTGCGTCACGAAGTTGATGCTTCGTGGTTGATGTGGGGTGAAGCAAAACGCGTCGATCAATATGTCCGCAGTTTTCAGTTTTGGTGGAACAGCCGAGGAAATTTGCTTGAGGCGTTGGCCCGAACGTGGCCGCAAGTGTAAAGAAAATACACCTGCAAAACGCGTGTGCGCCAAAAAAGAGTGCACTTTCTGCTCTTCCCCAATCTAAATTCCACCTTACAAGTGCTGACCCTTGTGAAAAATGGGATGAAAGCACATATGATCCAAACTCTCCCAAATGAAAAAAATAAAAAAATGGTAGGTTTTGAGCACTGTCCACTTTGGCAATGTGCGAATCGCACAGGGTCACTATTAGCGGCGGTACCTTGTTTTCCCAGTGAATGAAGCACTGGAAAGCACGCCAAGCTAGGCACCCAACTGCTGCAACAAGCGCAGGGCCTCGGTGATGTTCCGAGACGCGCTGCACCGGAACGCTGAAGGGTTCAGCGTTCCTCACGCTGGAACCAAGAGATGAGAGTTGGTCAGAACTATATTTTGTACAGGATCCTACAGGTCAGGAGCGGACCTCATGAAATACTGGAGTTGATCAAAAACACGACGAAACTGGAGGTGTTCAGGAGGTTATAACTGGGTCAAACTGGACCTCTACGCGGTATACTAGCTCCGAAACAACTTGAGGGCGGTCTTGGGGCTTTAAATCCAAAGCACAACACTCACTGATTACGGTCCTACAGCCATGGCACGTGGCAGGTGTTTTTCATCCACTGCCATGATGATCATGGTGATGTTCAGGGAGTGTCAAACAACCAAACTTGCAATGCCGTCCCCCATACCCCGAAAGGCGCAATCGCACAGAAATGAGTGTCTTTCTTCAGCAGTTGCAAAGACCAAAGAGTGTCAAACAGGAGGTTCCTCATTGTGAGTCGGCAGCCGACTCCCTCATTTTCCTTGGAACATGAAGAACCGTGCTTTCCAGTTCTTCGATCGATCCAGCCATAGCGTGTGATGGCTTCACTGCTGACTCTCTGACATAGTGAAAGAAAAGCCTAAGACATGTACAAACCCCAAAACGTCATGAATTACGAACCACATTCACAAGGATCAAAACGCCAATGATTTCCAGTTGTTCTTGTTTAGTGGGTTGCCCCCAATTCCTCCACAGAGAAGCTTTTCCAGGTGATGGATCACGTACTTCCTGCCGTACCGGCGTCGAGGCCTCCCTACTGGGGACTGGGGCAGTGAACCAACCGCCAGTACGGGGGTATATGCATGTGCGCACAAAAATATACAATCTCAAAAAAGTCTATAGAATCTTTACACCATTGACCCTTGAAAGATCTTAAAGCATACCGCATACCAATGTAGGTAAAAAAAGAATCCACGCTCAAATAATAGGGAATGTTGACCCATTCTCCACATGTTCACAAATGCTCTGAAACGTCAGCCTTTCTTTGTGATGCTGGATCAGTTTCAGTCCGAGGACAAACGCGTTTTGATGGTGTTTTGATGGTGCCCATGTTGCACAAGTTGCACTTCCCACTTCCCATCCGGACTGGCACATTGACATACCTGGACCTTGCTTCAAGGGGTGTCCTGGCTGGAGATCCCGGAGAAGTAGTGGGCGTATTTGGGGCCGAATCAGCCAGGCGACCCCGAACCAGTGAAGCTACTGTTACATTCAGGCTGACCTTGCTCCGGCTGAGGTGCCCGGCCTTTTCAGGCTTCTCACCCTTGCCGCATGCCTCAGTACTTGAGGAACCTACCAGCACCTTCAGTTAGGGGTCAGCTGGCTGGAAGCCCCAGCCCACTACTTAGGGAATTGGACACCCTTGAAGGTATTTGAAGGTCTAGGTATTTTGTATATATATTCATTTGTACATGTAATAGCCTGAGGAAAATCAACAAGCGTTCTACCTGCAATTCGCGAGAGATGAGAACTGTCTGTATTCCGAAACTGTCTTGTACAGTACCACCTTCATCACACACTATTTGACAAAGCTGGGTTGGAATTCGTAGACAAAAAGAAAACACTGCTACATGCATAGCAGCATAGCATGCCTTGACAAAGCTTGGGCACCGTGTTGCTTTATACGTTGGGTATACCCCAGTACCGTATAACATTGGATGATGGTGGTTGCTAAAGGCCTTTCTGACAATCTTCCACCAACTGTTACTGGTAATGGGATACACCCTAGCTATGTGACGCACAGGGCCGCTTCCTGTTGCTTTCCCTCGTCTTCCTCGTCTTCGTTCGACCGAGGCGGAGCACCACGCCACGTGCACTGGCGCCACGCGGGGCGAAGTCTGGGGGTCCAACTCCCTCAGTGTCCTTGGTAGATGGTTTCTTTTTTCAACATATCCCATAATTATGTATGTACACCAGGACCCTCCTGTCGGGGTGCCCTGTCTGGAAGCCTAGGCCGGTAGTGTGGGGTAGTCCATTGGACACCCCGACAGGAGGGTCCTGGTACGCTTCCCTTTCGTTCTGTTGTTAAGTTATACCTCTTCATGGTTCGTGCGTGTCCCCAAGGAACCCCAAGAGAGGTAGGCAGCTGAGATATAATCTAACAACCCTCACCTGACAGGTGGGGAACAACACATTTCACAAACGATTGAGACGTTGAGTCAATTCGTTGCAAGTGCTTCAGGATCACCCAAAAGACTCAGCAGAATTCTTAACCAAATCGTTCTCCAAAAATAATACACATCACAACACTACAGTATAAGGAGAACATCCCTAAGGGTCCTTGGACCCTCCTTAGAAAGGGTCGAACCCTCTAGTTCACAAGGGTTTGTACCCGAACCAAACCCTTGTTTTGTTTCGGGTGCGGATCCTTAGGGATGTAAAAAAGTATACTTCCATGAAGACCTCAGACCTGTCGAGCAGGCGGTGTCATTTTCACTGAAGGTGCGCAATGCGCACGACCCGCCCAGGTACCGTGATGCAAGCGCCATAGGTGACCACCGACGGCCTATGGCGCAGAGGGGAACAAGAGGACGTGCAGTTAACACATGTTAAAACCATTTAACACCCTTTTGCCAACATAATCATATGGGTCAACTGGGGCAATCATGTCCAAATTGAACAGTAAAAACATGTGAACAAATACAGTAACAAGTATAAATGAATGCATTGAATGCACCTCGATAGAATCCCATGATTCTAGGCTGAGACTTGTCTAGTAATGGGTCTTCAGACCTGGGCAAAGAGTTGGTTCAAGTGTCGTGTTCACACATTGTGACATGTAAATGCTCATGAAATGTTCTTCACATTTTGGAGCCCGGCCTCATCCAGATGGAACACGACCTGTTTCTACCAGCACCACGGATTCCGGGTGTCCATTCTATAGCCCCGAAAAGAGGTCAAGGGGTGTCCATGAACCACCCCGATTGGGGTCCAGGTAGTGGAAAAATGGCGTACCCAGACGCTCCTGGACCCTCATATGCAGGGGTCGGACCCGAATCCTCTGGAAGGGTCTGGACCCTCAAATCCCTATGGTTTGGTTCGGGACCAGTTGGGCTGTGAACGGAGCGTTTGGGTAGAATCTAGGACCTAGGAGTTCCGGGGGCGTTGATGACCCTCCCCGACTCGGACGGAGGAAGCATCATGCTGCTTCCTCCAGCTTTTTGGTTGGAGTATCAGACCTCATGACGGAATCGCAAATACGCTTCATGGGTTGGATGAGCACATTCCTGTAAGCTTCGGGTTGGGTGAGGAGCACACTCAAGCACGTTCCTTCTTCGTTCCATCCCCAGACTCTCCATGTATGCCGATGGAAAGAAAGACAGGGGGTGGTGGTGGTGCCCAGGAGGGCCACAACGGGTCGGATTTCCGGGCGCTTGCCTCAAGCCCTCCTCAAGTAGCCGATGAAAGGTTCCCAGCGCCTCGGGCCAACGCTGAACCTGGCGGGGTCCGGATGGGCTACAGTTCCGGGTGAGTCCGGGGTTGGCTACAGCGGACCGACGGCGTGGTAGTGTTTCAGGCATTCGCAGACCTCCCAGAGCCATGGCTACCTGGAGCACCCTCCAACAGTTGCTTGTACCCATGTTTGGAGGTACAAACTGAGACTCCAGGTCGAAGGATTTGAAACTCAACGTGGGACTCATGTCTCAACCCATACTCACTTCCCTCAGGATCCGTGGACCCTCCTTGGAAGGGGTCGAATCCTCTATAACAAGGGCTTGGGGCCCCGAACCAAACCATCAAACCCTAGTTTTGTTTCGGGTGCGGATCCTTAGGGTTAATGAAATGGATCATGTTCTTTCTGTATCCATTGTCCTCCTTTTATGGTACTTGACCTGCATTCTGACCGAGCTCTCACCCCCTACTCATAGGCAGATCCCAGCTCCCCATCCTCTGACCTTGTGGAGGCCAATCTCCGGTGACCGGTCCAATCTCCGCCTGCCCACAGAGGCTGATGAAGGTATTGTAGGTCACCACGTTGGGCTTCACCTCGTCTCACTGGGCGACCCACTTGACTGAGAGGACCGGGGTGGACGAGGAGGGCGCCGGCGTCGTGAAGCACCTGCTCAGGCTCGGACCTTTCCAGGAAACCAGGCCTTTCCAGGTCCCGAACCAAACCGACCAGGACCTTCCAAGTTCGGGAAAACCACCTGTGACTTTTATACAAGTCTACAGAAGCCATCGCCTCCAAAACTCGCAAAACCTGTTGGGCCCGGGCCCTCGGTGCTGGTATATAGGGATTGATTCTTCGGGTCCAGGTCCCCCTGACTAGTCCGAAGGAACTCAGGTCCACAAGCTGCACCACTCGTCTGTCCAAAGGAACGCACCGCTCGTCGTGCGAAGAGAACCGCTAGCGCGGCCGCTATAGGGCTCCGTTGGGCCGACCTCCGTTTCGGTTCGGTGGGCCAGGGGTGGGTGGATGCCAGGGGGGGTCGAATACCACCGGTCACCGGGTCGGAGATGGGGCGTGACAGGAGCCCTAGGGATAGAGAGTGCAGTAATGACTTGATTCGAAGAGTTGCTCGACTCAACAGTGCATCAAATGGGGGCACGATGTCTCGAAGAAAACGGGGGCACGATCACTGGTCGATGGGTCACGAGATGCGAAGTCCATCTTAGAAGCCCTAGGGCAAAAACCACATCCTCAGAAGGTGGTTGGGGTGGATTTGGGGGGTCCAACCACCTTCTGAGGATATGGTGGGAGGGCTAGGGAAAGTGCCCTTTCAAGAGTTTCACCATTTATCCCCCGCTCCTGGCCCATCTCCTCAGGTTCGGTGGTGAGACCAGACCGGAATCCACCCAAACCACCGAACCTTATACTAGGTGGAGCCTTAGAGCGCTTAGAGTACCCACCTCAACCACCTTCTGAAGGAGGTAGTTACCAGGTAGTTGGAGCCCTTTTCACTCTCTTCTCTGAAAACTCAGGAGCACCCCCACCCCCTCTCCCTGGGGCTCCCTTCATCCGATGCGCGCCTCAGGCGTCGGGTCATGCACGCGGGCACGCGCCGCGCCTTTCGCGCACGCCCGACCACTCCGACCACTCCATTCGGGCCGGGAGCACGTCGAATGAACATGGCACCATGACTTGCGAAGTAAGACTGGCGAACGAGACACCCGCACGTCGACCGGGAAAAAGCGCTTCTAAACACCCGGATGTCCCTCCGGCGGAATGGCGAACCTGAGGTGGAGGATCATTTTTCCTCTACAACCCCGGGGTTTTGGGGTTCCATGTGAATCTGCAGGGAAGTCAAATGAGCAAACATTGACATGCAAGAATTCCTCTGTTGTAAACCATGAAAAGAACATGGACAAAACCAACATGCAGCTTGACCCGATTGATGAAGTCTGAGTCTTTGCCAAGACTTCAGCGTGCAATGCACCGAATTATCCCAACGAAGTCCGTGTGCAAAGCGAGAACAATCTATCTCCCCCTGTCACTTACACCTTCTCGAACAAAAAAAGTCTTGCGAAGCATGTGTAGGAAGGTCACATGATATGATACGTGTTGATACTAAAGCCCATGGTTTGACTGTAGCCACTGTAGCCATGGAAAGCAGTGATTGTAGTGAGTCTTGTGCGGTTGCAAGTGGGTCTTTTCCAAAATGGAAGTGGCGCTGTCCCATTGTGGCTCAAGACATAAAAGTGGAGTTGTTTTTGTTCAGTCAGGCATTGGTAGATGGTTGCACGTTTGGTGCATGAGTTGTACATTGTACATGTACTTACTTGATTCGATCTTAGTTTTTTGGAGAGCCATGTCATCTTCTGCTTCCAGCTCGAGTTCTCCTGAATCGGAATCCAATTGTGCGGAGGACTTGGACTTCAAATTGTTGGTTAGCTGCGCCCCACTGTCCCATAGGAAAGACATGGAAAGACACAAATAAAATTCCTGGATCCCAAACTTTTCAGCAGCAGCTGACGCAGGACCACCCCATCCCAAAGATCACCGTAAAGTTCCTGGAAGAGCCTGGCGCTCTTTTTCTTCAATCAGCAGGATTCTTGGCTGAACTTTCGCGTGAGACTAACCAAGCCGATCCTGTTTCTAGTTCCATTCCAGGACTGGAGTCATGGTTCGAAGCCTGGGGTGATAAGAAATTCCATTTTATGTCTGATTGTAACTGGGCTGCAATGGGCCAGCTGTAGTATGAGGCTGCAGCTGCGTTGCATTGAAACCTGTTTCTTGAGCTGGACATGAGATCCTGAATAAAGGTAGCGGGGCTGACACTCCCTTTATGGCACTGCAACAGCTTTTTGGTGCTGTGGGCAAGAGAGATTGCCTTGTTCACTTGCAGCTTGGCTTGATTCTTGTGCCTGCTGCTGCCCATGTTTGACTATGGTTGAGTTTAACATATTTAACGAACTTAGCAAGCGCTATGTTGAAGTCAGGTTGGCGTCGGAGATCAACCCCAAAAAACGTTTGTTTCTGGAGCAGAACTTCGATATTCAACGGCATCTTGGCTGGTCTACCTAGGGGGCACTATGCTTTCATCCCTGCAGTGGGGTGGCTTGTTCTTGTTTCCGCAAAGGTTGACTCGGTCTGTGCTGAAGCAGCCGGACAACAAGTCTCTCTGTGATGATGCCGCTAGGGTTGCAATGACATGGTTGCTTTACAGAGAGTGTCTTGTTTTGCTTCATAACTTTGCTCTTTAGATCTATATATGAAGGATTGGTCAGTTGTACTTAGCTGAGGTAAGCTTGTATTGTGCGGGCTTTCCCTGCACTCCATACAGCACGTTGGGAGGTCGTGCTTGTCTTTCTGACAAAAACGCACGCCAGCTGTACGCCTGCGTGAAACGTATCAAGGATACTCGCCCGCGTGCTCCTCAACTTAACATGTTGTATTGGTGCGATTGGTGCGCGGTGTTGGTGGCAATGGTGTGTTGCTAACCAAGGTGGTATTGCTCGAGAATGTCATGGGATTCCTCTCGGTTGTGAATGAAGTTTGGGAGTTCCTTGTGAAAAACTGCCCAGGGTGTCTTACCAAAATCTTTTAGCGGCCCAGTCTTACCAACATCTTTCAAGGCGTTTGCTTTTACAAAGTGTCCTGGATCAACTTGGATCTGAGGTATGAGATGGTGTATGTGATTCTCAATCCGTGATTCAATGGCAACAGTTTGTTTGACATGTGTTGCAACTGTTTGTAAAATGAGTCTGCCATGAGTCTGCCTTAGGTCTAGATATGGAGCGCCAATCAACCGGAGACGTGTCTACCTGATTATGATCAGAATGGATATGTTAACCGACGAGGTAAAGAACCAAGATTTCCCCACTTGGGTCAAGAAGAAGCTGGATGACATGAAAGTCAAAACCAAAGTGGAATGGTTCCTCACCTGAATCAAATCTTTGCATACATCCATTAATTAATATTAAATCAAACCATTTGTACAGTATATTCTTGTCGTTGGGGCCCTTGGCCTACTCAGGATCAACCTTCTGCTGCCCGATGATCATCCAGCAGTGCTGGAGGACAAGAAGAAGCGGACTGCTCGACGGAAGAAACAACAGTTGCTCGGACAGGAAAAAATGTAAAAGGGTCCAGTGGTCTCAAAATCCATACCATGAGAAAATGCAAATAAGGCCCATCAACCCTACTTCAAAATGGATCCGTCGTCACCGAGATTGGGCCAAGGAAAAGAAGGTAAGACACAATTGTGATGATTGTTTCCTGTGCAATGCCAAGTTAACTGAATTGGGTGCTTCTGAATTTGTGCAGGTGAATGTCAAAAAGGTGAACAAGAACAAGTTGTTTGCCAAGAGGTATCCGGCAGCCTCAAGGCAACTGACAAGCCACAGAGAAGTAGAGGCCAGACCCCCAATAGTGGCATGAACGTTTATGCATTGCAATATATTGCAATGGTTATACATGTGTGTACTCTTTGCCATCAGAATGTATGCATTGCAGCCATTCTACCGGGTAGGCATGCAACCTTCTGGCAGCTCACCACTCTAACATTAGCGTGGTCAATATCAGCCAGTCCGTGGACCTTGCGCCGGTCTTGGAAGAAGATTCTGACCCCCTCATGTGTTTGACGCCGCTCGCCATCAATTCAGGTTTCACATGGTGAGCATTAGCAATACACTAAGTTTGTCAATACCAGATTGTATCTGTTTGCCTTATCACACTTTGAGGCCTAATGGCAAATTTCTCGCAACAACACCTGGCAGATTTTTGCTTGGACGTGAAATTATGATGCTGATGGGCATGCCGATACATGAGCTGACCTTGAATTCATCGAGTGAGTCTGTTCCTTGCTTTATTTATTGAGTGCGGGTCCACACAAGTCCACATTACTCTCATGGGGATGAGTTCTTTGAGGTATTGCACTCGTTGGGGGGCGACGCAATGGCGTTGCGGGCAGTGCTGCCCTGCATCTGTGTTGCCCTTAATGCATGTGTGCCTGAACGGCTAGCACCTTCCTGGCGCTAGATTGGATCGGCTTGGGAAAACATGTAGTTGTGAGAAACATGTCGGATCAGTGCAGCTGTTGCGTTATGATAGAAACAACGTCACATTACGTCTACGTGTCCCTTGCCCCGTCATCAGCTACAGGGTTCTGATATATCATAGGTAGGGTTGGTGGTTTGTGCAATGAGTCATGTATGTATTCATGTATGATGCATGAACAAAATGATGGCATGTATCCTAAGTACTGTAGTATGTTTGCATGGGCAAGTAGTATGTTTGCATGTATCTTACGTAATATGTTTATCCTAAATCAACACGATCAGTGAACAGAAAGGCTTGACACTGGGACGTCATGGCACTGTGTCGTTGGGATGATAACGCTGATGAAACAATGACGGGGCTAGGGAGATATGACACTACGAGCTCCGACTCTGAAACGCAAGAGCTGCTCAGCTGCAGGGTCGGTGTTTTGTGCCAGCTTTCATTGCTAACACCATCTTTGCGCCATCTTTAGGACAAGGGTTTGCGGGTTTGCCCAAATCTGAGAACCCAGGACATCATCTTCAGAATCTTCATACAGCTCTGG